CTAAACAAGAAACATGTAGTTAAAAGTACCATTCAACTTTTATAATAAAATCCTTGATATTGTTGATAATTTTAAAAAATATAATAGTTAGCGGAGAAGTTGTGTTGAATGAGCATTAACACTTTGAGAGAATAAGAGACATTGACTTTAGCAAGTTTGTCACTCCATTAAAAGCTAAAGCTTTTCACAACGCCCCTGGTCACAATGAATGATGCCATTACAAATTGTAGTTTTGCTATTGTTAATGTTAAATCTAATCCATTCTATTGTGATTGAGAACCATTTGCTTGTGATCCATTGCTTTCAGAAGACAAAGTGGTAAATGACACTTGTCATTTCCTTCCCTTTATTATCTTTTAGAATCATATAATGCATTTCGCTTACGCAAATCAAAATGGGGCTACCACCGCTGATTATGTATTTTCCCGGTCACTATCCTTCCTTCCCCTTGCAATGCATGCATTGCATGTGGTTGCCTTGATTAATCCAAGTAATCACAACTAAATTTCAACAACTAATGAGCCTTGCAATTCATTTTTTTTATGTTAAGTCTTACCATTGATATAGTGTAATAGTACAAATAAAAGCCCATTTCTATTTTTATAATTTATGTTGGGATTAATTATGAGTTCTGTTCAGGTTTTTGAGTAGATGTAACATGAAGATTTCATGGGAGATCACCCATCTTAATACTTCTCTTATACGAATACACTTAACTATGTGGTTTTGATATGACCTAACACATTAATGCTTGTATACTCGCACCCTCAAGAATGTAAACATTTATTTTTAAACAATATGACTTTTCCATTTTATTTTTATTTTCTTAAAAAAAAGGAGCTTTCTTAAGCCCAGGAGGCCTAACTAACATTGGAATTTTTTGCAGAAAGCAAAAGTCTAATTCACGTGTTGGACAAGTGAGCCACTGACCAAATAAATTCACATAAGAAATGCCAACTTGCCAACCAAGTTGCTGCTTCGCAGAGCATTTTTCAATAGATAAAGCCAATGGATTGCTTGATAGAATTGGCAAGGATTATTATTGATATTTTTTAAGGTGAAGGTTTGAATTTTAAGGAGTAACAGACATGATAATTCAAAGAGATCATCCTATTGGTACCTCACTACCACAGTTAAAATCTCCTCACGAGGGGTACAAATTAGTTTGGGACGGATAATGAACCCATGAGACTCTAGAATGAGGATGATTTGATATATAAAAAAAGCCTCTCTCATGAGTCTCCCATTTGAACTCATCGCTTTGTTTGTAAAGCCGAAAGGCTAATCTGTGGTAAAATTATTATCTCTTCTAATATATATTACTTCCGCATTTAAATTTAAAATATTTTTTAAGAGATTAAATCAAGGATGGATATAAAAACAATTCTAGAGGGCCAAAATACAAAATTATATAATGGGGAGACAAAAGTTAGTTTCAACATTTTTACAATTAAAATAAACCAATTTCTTAAAGTAAATTGTGGCCTGCTTGCCCCCGGTATCTTGGATTAGATATCTAAAGTATTTTTAAATATTTAAAAATGTAATTATTTTTTTAAATATCCCTAATAATAAATACATTTTATATTATTTTAAAGTAAAATATACTATTAAATAAGAATAAATATAAAAATATAATATTAATTTAAAAATAAATAATTATTTTTATTGTAAAGATTAAAATGATTCTTTTATTAAATAAAAGAAGTATCAATTTATTTCAGACATAGGTCTTGAAAATCCGCCGATGGTCTTTTGATCCAAGCTGATAACGTGTGGGCAGTATTGTTTATATTTTAACTCCACTTTTTCGCCCCGGTCCATGAGAAGCTAATATAATTTTCGGTCACAGAAGTTATCATTTTTAATTATATTTGCATGAAAAGTCAACATAGTTTAAAAACATATAAAAGCTATACATAAGAATGTCAAAGAAGTCGATGTAAAAATAAAATAAAAAGAAATAACAAATTTATTCACAAGGAATTTCCTGACATATAGTAAATGTAAATTCACAGCGCATTCCCGTCAAAAATAACACGACATGTATTGTCATAAATCATACATAAAATTTTTGAAGTAGACCATGATGTTAAAAAAATTATTTTAAAACTCAAGAAAGGTAAATAAAAAATTATAATATTTTGAATTTGATTTTTTATAATAAAAATATGCAGTAGTAATTTTTAAACAAACAAATTTAAAAACCTTAAATATTTCGTTCCCTTTAATTCATATAGAATCGGAGAAAACCGTTGCCGGATTACGGAAGGCGACCACAAGTTAGGATGCTACTTCCCAGTTTCCACCATTTCCCATAAATCATAATAATAATTCACATTCATATCCTCTCTCCTCTGTTGCCAAAAAAATAAAAAAGATATCCTCTCTCTTCAATTTCTTGAACATTGCGTTTGTTTTCTAGGGTTACCGTTGGGACTTGCCACTTGCTCGGTAGGGCCCTTCCTCGTCCAGGCTTCTCCGATGAAGCCTGATCAGTCTTCCTCCGCTTCCTGCGAGGGTTGCGGCACCACCAGGGATCTTTCTCTGTTCCTCCACAACGTTCGCTACAGAGCCACCCAACGTCGTTTTTGTACCAACTGTGTCCTCAAGAACCACCAGGGTCTCTTCTGCCCAATCTGTTTCGACGTTTACGGACGACAATCCACCTCCCCACCTCCGTCTTATGTGCCACAAGTGCCCATCCTTCGCTCACCGTTCTTGTGTCGTCGCTTCCTCCGATTCCGATTCTACTCCTCCATTTTACCTGTGCCCACCTTGCGCTGACCCCAAATTTTCATACTTTAAGTTGACCAGTGAAAACCTCACTGTCGATAGCGCCAACGGGGAGGGAGATTCAGTTGACCTAGTTGCTGCTTCTGCTCATAACGCTAAGAGTCTTAGAGCTATCGATATGCGGTCGGCCAGAGTGCTGGTTGCCGCTGCTCGGATTGCGGCGTCTTCGATGGCCAAAGCAGCATCAGCTGCTCGGATTGACGCAGAACGGCGGTGCAAAGAAGCTGCCTTGGCCCGGAAAAAAGCCAGAGAGGCACTGGAAACGGGTTGCCTATCTGGCGGCCAAGGAGAAAGATGCCAAAGGCTTTCTGCATAGTGTGTCGCTGGCCAAAACGTTGATCTCCATGCGACATAGTGTACATCCATGCCTTAAGTTCATATTGCAACGAAGTTCGATTGTTGTTGGGCTGGTGTTGATTTGTGTCTGTTTTTGAGTAGAACCACATTGCTAGATCAGGTTGACTTTGTCATTCAAATGTTGAAAATTTTAATGAGATCAATTCGTTCTTCCTTCCTTAATTGCTATCAGGACATTGCGCGCTGTAATATATGCAACAATTTTGTTGTCATTTCTATCATTGCCCATTTTTTCCTATTTCTTCTGCATAAGTACATTCTTGTTGTGGCTCAATGGATAACCCAATCTTCAGAACCTGAGTTAATCACAATCTCCTTAACCAATAATTTTGTGACACGGAAGATGCTGGTTAACTACAACCTTTGAACAAATTCAGGTAATGTCTACATGATGATTCGTTTACATCGACTCTCAATCCAGAGAAGAAGAGATGAACATTTCATTCTAATACTTCCACCATAAACTTAAACAAAGTTCTGCAGAATGAATGCAGCATGACAGCTTTGCACGTTTTTAGTCCATCTTCTTTACTTCCCTTTTGGTCCTTGGGAGGTTTTCCACTTTGAGTTAATATAATCTCTATGCGAACAATAGAACAAAATAATATCTTAAAGAAAGTTTGACTGTTTTAAAATGTTTGAGATTGGCGGCCTTGTTGCACAGTACTTCTATAAGTTATTGCAAGTTCCAATTTTCTGAAGTATTTAGCTAATACTGAATGAATCAGGGCTTTTAAAATGGCTAAACGTTGTCACAGAATTTGCATGCTATTTGTCCGTTCTTTTTCCATTCTTTGCCATTTTATTAATATCTTATATGTTGTTGCTGCCGAGGCTTTTGTTAAATTTCTACTCATCTTCCTTTGCGTACGCATTCTGAATGCCAGTTATGGCTTTGCTGTTCTTCAGTTTGATGTCAGATATCCTGTTTAGTCTGAGAATGGGGAGCAAAACTTTATTGGCTGCTCTTCATGAGGTTCAACATGCTTAGTAGCTACTTCTGGTAGCAGTAAGAATCTGTTCAGAGAATTTCTGATAGCTCTTTTACTGTGGGGGCTCAGAATCCTTTTTTCTATAACTTTCAGTGGCCTAACAAGAGTCAGTTTGTATGTGAAATATTCTGTATCTATGCTGTTATGCAGGAAATATCCTCTGATTTATTTGAAAAACCCTTCAAGGTCAATGGACATGCTCTGCTCTAGTCACTCAGTAAGGTTGCCTGCCAGTACATTAGATTCGATATGTTTCAGGAATATCCTTTGATTTATTTGGGGAAAAAGACCTTCAAGGCTGATGAACTTACTTTTGTTCCAGGGACTTGGAAGGGATACAGACAGCACATTATATATTTTCCATTCCAGAGCTATTTTTTTTTTTTTTTTAACATTTGAAGCTTTATATTTCCTTTGATTTTCTTCAAATTCAAATCGAAGTTGAAGATTTTCTAATTGTAAGTATATCTGAAGGTGACTGGATTTGGTTAGATATTATTCTAAATGCATCTCTTGCAGTGTTATGCTTTTTTCAACCTCCTTTAACTAAGTTATCCGGACCATATCATATTGGAAGAAAAGAACAATTTAGATACTTGAAAATGGCCACACACATTATATTGGATGATCTTGCTTTCTATGAGACAAGCTCACCCCATAGTTTGAAAAGCTCAAAATTTATGAACTTGAGCTGGGAGACATGACCCTTTTCTGCTTGATTTTGTGTTCTTATCGTTGGTTACAGCATTTAGAGCAAGTAACGATGAGTTTCCTTCCACATGGTTTCAGCGACACTTTAACAATGATTCTCAAAATCATTCTAAGAACGAATTCCTTCCTAGTTTACAAACAAGATTCATCTATTTAAGTGAAAAATAAAGAACCTTTCCTAATTGCCTTCAAGAACTTTTGTGTATGGCTTGTACGTGAAGTCTAGAATCGAAGGTTTGCTCTAGAATTTTTATTACAGACAGTACAAAAACCAGTGGTTCTATGAATAAGAAAAGTTAAGATCTCTTATAAAAAACTCCTACGACATATCTTGCGTGTCCATTTCTCCTTCAAGCATGCAAGCCCAGACATGCTTTTGAATTGACTAATTCCTTGGCTGCTAGGGTCAGCTCAAATCAATCCAGTGGTGCAGGACTGATGCAGCGGTGAGGGTATCTTAGAAGAAGGGCCATGCCCACTTTTACTTAGTTCATTGTGGCCGTTAAGATTTTGAGTTGCTCCAGTGAATGAAGATATTGCTGTAACAAATGCTTCTTTGAAAGAAGGATCTTCGGCTATAGCCGTGCCAACTAAATTCTCCAAGTAAAGATTTTTCACAGGCGCCATTGTGGTCAGAGGCTTATGAAACAATTTCAGTCTCTCAGATTGTTGAGCAGAGCCATGCAATGAGAAAGGAAATGGTTCGCACTGGTTCAGTGATGAGGTAGGCCATCGCAAGTTCATAGAGTTGTTCTTAGAGGGGATGGCCAAGTCCAGTGTCATTGTAGGACATGATGAAGATGCAGAGAAGGAAGCCAAGTCAGATAATAAGGGGAAGAGACCTGAATTATGTGCAGGACTAGTTGTTGAGCCTGAAAGTAGCATGCTCAATGCTGCTGATGTCATACTTGCCATGGGTCTAGCTGCTCGAGGTAGTGGATGATTATGGCTCCCTTCATAAGTGTTAATGAATACAGTATCATCCTTAGCACACCTTTGAACCTGTAACAATATGAACTGTGCATCACAATTAATCCTGCTTATACATGCTAATCAAAAAACTGACTCATACACCTTAGCTTAATATTTTAAACTGAATTGATTGATCATCGGTATAACGTTAGTGCCTTTATGACCCTTGGAGTTTGAGCCTTGCCGGCTTTGCAAGAAGTTTTCAATTCGTTTGACATTATAATAGATGTATGACTTGGGAGTTTAACTATGGTACCACTGACATCACGTAGTCTTTAAAAGTTTATCACCACTAACTTAATATTTCTCCAAGAAAATATTGCATTCATCTAGTTTTGAACTTAATTTTAAGAAAATAACGCTAACAGAATCATTTGACAAAGTTTTTATACAGATTTTAAACCCTCATAATTATACACATCACTTGTCAACGAGAGATGTAATTCCTAATCCGGCTAAAATTGTAGCAATGAAAATTAGGTCAACCTGATTGTCTGAATCATTGGACAGTGTTTTCATCAATTTAATAAAATGCTTTATTCATGACCAGTTATTATGATTCAGTTGCATAAATTTCTTCAAAAACATGTCAGTGAAGTGCATCGACAACTCAAACCCATTTCATATGTGGATGTGAAAAATAAGCTTATTAAAACAAACACAGGATTCCAGCTTGCTCTGACATCGAATGGACATATGCAAAGGTTTAAGGAAGTCTGTTTCTTTCATTGTTTTGGATCAAAGATGAAGCTGAGCGATGCTACACGGACATATAATTGTGCACGAACCTGCTTACGAACGGGACATGCATTTCCCATGCTGCAACGGTAATAAGCTCGGGGACTAGGGTTATTCTTAGCTGTCTTTTGCCCATACTTTCTCCATTGACACCCATCACCTATCTGATCATAAAATCACCATGCAAACTTGTATAGCTTTGCCTCATAAACAAAATGTTCATCTTATGAAATTATTAAATGCATAAAATTATAAAATTTTCCCCTTGAGCTTGAATGAATTTAGAGTAAAACATTCACACCTCCACGAACACTTACTGTAGAAAGTTTAAAATTGGAGCCAGAAGAGTTGTGAATAAAACTTTTGGAAACCTCAAGGGTGAATGCATGTTTTACTCATTAATATATTAATATCAATGCAGTCAGAGAGAAATATGTCCAAAATGGCATAGAAATTCATACCCGAGAAAAATCTGAATGTGCCCTTATGGAAACTCTAGCCTTCCTGCAAGATGCCTCAAATGTTTGATCTGTTGTTCTTTTTGCTCCTTCCAGTGTTACTTGGCTACTCATATGATGATCACCCTCAAGTGGCAAAGCTGATTTCTCCATCACCATGACATGATCTGCTCTATTCTGCTTCTGAGTTAATGAAACAATTATCATGTGCTCTTTTGAATAACCTCTTTCATAATATATCCTAAATCCAGATTAGGTGAATTGAAATCGTCATTATTAAATTCTTTTAAAAAAGAGTTCGATTCGGGCTAACCAGAAAATCTTGATAATTTGGAGGTGGTGGTGATGATCGCTGCTTCTGCTCCTTCTGCAAAGCCAGAAGGAGATTCTGAAGAGAAGTGTAATGTTCAGTAATCTGGTTTAGCATAGCTCTTAAATTCTGATTCTCTTTCTTTGCTTCCTCTAGCTTAATTCTCAGCGAACCGACCTAAGAATCAAAACGCAAATCATCGATCACGTCCAACGTATAAGAGGTACCAATCAAAACTCATAGCATGAATTTCCTAATAAAAGATTATACTTACGTTGGTCAATGGCTTCTCTTGATTTTGGAGATCTTTTTCTGATATATTCAGGCTCAAACTGAGAAAATTGCACCCCATCTGCCCAAGTAAGAAAATTGAAGACCGAGGGACAGTATGCTTAGTTACATATATAGATCATTCATCTGAAGTTTGGTTTTGAATTAGCCAATAGAGTATTTTACATCTTTATAAAGAAAGAGGAGAGACAGAAAACGAAGTACAAGGAAACTTACAGTATTGTCAATGGGGGTTTCTTGGGTGTTATTATCACACGTCTTTGATGGCGCTTCCTCAAATTCCAGCAATTTTCTTAAAGAGACACTTCCTTCCATTTTATAGTCTTTAAGCCTGTTACTTCTTAGACAGTGATGATGATATCAGATCTCACAAGATTACTGCATTCTGTGATATAACTTCTGAAGATCAATTATATAATGAATGAAGTGCAAAGCAACGATTTATAGTCTAATCTTTCTTTCTTACTGAGTCTATTTTTTCCAACACTCTTAATTTTCATGTTAACTATAGGTCATCTACTCCATTGGTCTTATTTATAAGGTAGAGAGAGAAGAAAAAATTTAATCCTATTTATAGAGCACTTGCCAATTTTCAATGCTCATCTTTACATTTTTGCCCTTATCAAATGCATTAAATAAAAATACCGATAATGAGATTTAAAAATATTTAGCACAGATAAAAGTGAAAACTTATTAAATTTTAAGACAAAGTTAATAAAGTTTAATCTTTCTTTCTTACTAATCTATTTTTTTCCAACACTCTTGTTAATTTCTCATGTTAACTATGAGTCATCTACTCCTCTGGTCCTACTTATAAGGTAGAGAGAGAGAAAAAAATTTAATCCTGTTTATAGAGCACTTGTTAATTTTCAATGCTCATCTTTACATTGTTGCCCTTATTAAATGCATTGAATAAAAATACCAATAATAAAATTTAAGAATATTTAGCAAGGATAAAGGTGAAAACTAATTAAGTTTTAAGATAAAATTAATAAAGTTTAATATTTTTTTAATTCCAATTAAACATATTGAAAGTGATTTATAAATAAGATTTAGAAGCAGCATTTATATTTGTATACTTAAATAAACTTAGCTGACATTGTTTTAACTTCAATAAGTGGGCTTTGTCTCAAAGGTATGAATTGTCATGACTAAACACGTTCTGTATATGTATATGTGTGTATCTGCCTCTCTCACAATATATATGAAGTGTATATGTGCATGCATGTATGTAGTATGTATGTATGTATGAGTCAATCTACAGAAGAAGGGACTAATTGTGATTCTAGATGAAGTCTTACTCTCTACCATATGAATTTTCTTTGATGAAAGGAGGGAAATCTGGAAGACGTGAAGAAATTAAAATGTTAAAAATATATATCTAAGATGAGTCACAGTCTAATAAGAAAATTTAGACAGATATATAATTAATAAAATGTAGGTCAATGGAGTTCATTATAAGAAAGTATATCAAGTGTATTAATTAAATAGTTTTTAAGGGGATCGATCTTTCACTAAGTTATGACTGCTATCTTTAACGTAGCAATTATAATGTCATCATCTTGCTTCCTCCATAGAAAATTTATCTCGTTGTCCTTGTCTAAATATATATGTATAATATATATATATATATATATATATATATATATTCAACCAGAGGCACTGCACGCAACTGCTTTTATTTAACAACGATGTCACCTTTCAACATTTGATCATATGAGTATGACTGCAGTTTCATTTTTAATAATGTCCATGGAAACGTAATCTAGATATATCCTTAGATGCAATTGAATTATGAGTTTTGTAATTAAAAAAATAGAGGGGAGATTAAAAAAAAAAAATCGAAGCCGACTTGAATCGAAATTACTCAATAATACTGAACACCAAATGATTCTATAAAATAACAAAAAAGGAAGTTTGGATATATATCATCAACCTAATACAGGATAATGACTATTAAAATAACTTTTCTCAATCAGTAAATTGATGGTTAATTAGAAGTAAACTTAAGTTAGACCTTGAATCATCAATTTAGAGAAAAAGCTGTAAAAAATAGTGTGTCATTATCTATTTATCTATGTTAGTTTCCCAGTGGTGGTTGTGTTGAACAGGAAGGAACCGAGAACTTCCCGAGGAAAATGCTGCTGAACTTCAGAGTATCACATGGGGACGTGCATCTACGTCACGGAGTATATGTACACGTGTATCATTCAACTACATGAATATTAATTACTCCCTCCAATTTTATTTTTATAACACCTTTTAAAAATAATTTTTTTATTTAAAATATAAGATACATTATAATAATTAAATTATTTTTTTATTTTACTCTCTTTTAATAAACGTGAAATTATTTAACATGGTTACATCATCATTTAAAAATAAAGATAAAAATAAAAATATATCACATTTTTTATAATATAAAGAATTAATTTTTTTAAGATATATCAAATGGTTGAACCCATCTTATCACAAAGACAGGAGAGAGTACATATAGCATTGTTCATAGGTTTAAAAAGACGAGCAAATCAATGGGATTATATTGGATTTAGCGGTAAAATTAATCCTTCATAGCGTAATAAATGTTCAAATCTCGAATAAAAAAGACAACCATAATCAATGTCCCACCGTGAGAGACGGATCCCCCCACGCTCATAGTCTTGGTTGTAAAAATTATGACGTACATATGGTATCGTGTTTATTTTTCTCATAAAAAAACGCTGTCAAGTCGAATCAAACTGATGAATGGTATGCATTCCTTGGAAATTTATTTCTGTGCGCGTCTGACCCGTGTCTGGATCTTATAGTATTCTTAACTTATTCAACTTCTTGCTATCCACTGCATTATAAGGGGAAAAAAATTTGAAAATATACTTTAAATCTATATCATGTGCACGTACGACTGGTTAATAAAAGTTAGTTTCCTTGACAGACTTAGTAATCGCAGGAAAAAAAATATTTTATAGAAGAGTTCAATCAATTTATCAGATAAGCAGCGTGATTGCATGAAATGTTGGATTCCCAGGGAATTGGAATTGTAGGACTTTGAAAGTTCAATAAATTTGGCGTAATTAGAAAGGCAAGACCTGGGCTTCTTTATACTTTTTTTTTAATTATTAAGGATTATTTTTACTCTTAAACTATTCGTGAAGCTCGCAAATGATCTTAAATTTAACTTAAGGTTAATTTTATTCTTTAATTTTAGAAATTTGATCATATAATCGCCTGTGCTCTTGATTTTTTTTCTATTAAGTGAGTTCCATATTTAAAAATTTTAATATTTTTATTATAAAATATTTAATAATAGATCCCACAATTCATTTTTTATATTTCTATAATATAAAAATATTATTCTCTCCCCCTAGTCTCTCTCTCTCTCTCTCTCTCTCTCTCCTCTTCTCGAAGGTTGAAGAGGATTGCAAGGGAAGTTGAAGTTGCATACGCATCATTCTCCACTAACACTATGACATTTTTATTATCTAAAAATAATTTAAAAGTATTGTTATAGACTTGAAAAATGTTACCTAAAGTTATAAACATCAATTTTCAAGTGTTTTCAACTTGAGTGTGGTCTATTGCTTTAAACAACAGTTTTTTTATCTTTAACCACACGGTCACACCTTTTGTAAAATTGTTACTTAAAACTATAAAAATAAGCAATAGTTTTTAAAAGTCTATTGCAATGTTTTTCAAATGTTGCTTATTACATAAATAGAAAATCTTTAAGAGTTATTCCTATCGAAAGAAATAGGTGATTCCAATCATTCTTCAAAGTTTACTTTTTGATATTATAATGCAAAATAATATATATATATATATATAAAATTAAGAGAATAAATAAATAAATTATGCAAAAAAATTATAAAAATAAATTTTTATGTGTAGAAAAACAAACAATAGTTCTTAAATATTGTCAAAAAGAATAACTATAGGCAACATTTATATTTTTGTTGCCTATTAGAATAAAGAACATTTCAAACATTTTTTAAATGTTCCCATAAAAGATCTTATATAGGCAACAGTTTTTATGTTGCCTATTTAAAAAATTTATTGCAACACTTGAAAACTATTTTCTATTCTACTTTAGAAAATGGTTTTTAAATGTTGCTAAAATTATGTTGTTTAATGTAGGGGAACAATAGCAACAAATAAAAATCGTTGCAAATACCTCCATCAACTTCTCTCCACCTTATCTGTCATCTTCTACCCCCCTTTCCTCTTACCTTTTCTCTCTCCTTTTTCCTTCACCCTTGCCATTATAGATCATAGACAATCTCATACCAAACATTGGAGACTTATTTCTACATGTGATATTCAACACTAGCATCGCCCTTCCAACTTTACTCTCTGCTCTTTCCTTTATCCTTGCCATTGTAGATCACGGATGAGCTCATACCATACCTTAGAGACTTGTTTCTACATGTGACATTCAATACTAGCATCGCCTTGGGCGCCAAGCAAATGGCCCCCCTATTTAGGAGCTCCGTGATTAGTATCTTGTGAAAGTTGAAGCTGCCATGTCCATTCTTGCTAGTATAAAACTTATCTCTTATCATCTCTTCTTTACCTTATGTCTAGTCATCTTTTAGTCACCTGCACATATAAGCCATGATAGGAGATCCTCACCACCTCTTCTATTGCATTCATCCTTCCTACTCTCTCCTTCTCTATCATCAATTCAACTACTGTATGTTGACATCGAACCTTTTTTTAGGAAAGTCACCTTTGGTCTTAACAAGCTCAACATTAGGCATGGCCACATCATCATGCTTCTCCTCCTCAATTTTCCCTATTATGCCTTCTCCTTCCTTAGAGCTTCATACTTTAGAACCATCATCACCACCAACCTATTTTACATCGTAGCTGAGGTCACAAGAGAGACAATAGCATTTACCCCTTCTTACTTTCTCTCTCCTTCACATAAAGGACCTTACATGCATGTACCGTTGTTAAGCTCATGCTCTTTTATGAAGAAATGAAATGTCTCTATTCTCTCCTTTCTTTTTTTCTTAAAAATAGAGATAGGTTAAGGATTCTATTGTTTACTTTGAATCAAGAATGAGTCGTCGGAGTTGTTGTTGATGGGAAGAGAGAGGGGGAGTGAAGGAGAGAGAGGAATGAGTCGACTTGCCAATTCGTTAAAGCTAAACTAGCTCTCTCTCCCTCTCGTGCTTGTAGCCAACTCGACTTGCGTGTCCTTTAAAGCTCTACACAAGCACTTATCTCATTAACTTTCATACAAGTTCCTAAAGAGCTCAGTTGCATCGATCACCAACTTCCTTACTGTATTAGCTTCATTTTCATTTTGAGTGTATGCAATTGCTGGTTATATAGATGATGCATGACCTTAATTTAGATGGGGACAATCTTTTGAAGAGGAGAGAGAGAGGAGAAAGGGAAGAAAGAAGGAGAAAAATATTTAAAAGTGATTGGTGGGACCACTTAAATATTTTATAATAAAAAACTAAAAAATTTAAAAATAGACCCTACCAACAAAGAAAATGAACAGAGAAAATAGCAAGTGATGAATTTAAAAATCTTAACAGTTGAAGAATAAAATAAATCCATAATTAAGTTTAGGGTCATTTGTGAATTTTTGTGCACATTTTAAGGACAAAAATAATCCTTAACCCTTTTCTTAATAAATGAATTGAATTTCAAAATTTTATTGGGATCAAGGTTAAAACTATCACAATAGTTCAATTCCTTCCGTATTTCTTTCTTTCTTTTTAGAGAAGTCTTCAATTTAATCAAGTGTGTTTCAAGGAAGCTTCTACCTTATTTTTTTCAAAAAGCTTTTGCTATGTATAAGTATCAATAGATCTAGCACTAAGGTCCCAAGCTCCTAGCCCTAAATGTTAGAAAAAAAATGGTTTGTTTTGTACTTTTGTTGGCATGTGGCAACAAATGTGATCTTAAGTATTTTTTCTTTTAGGAGTGTTAACTAAAAACTATTTTTTACAAACAAGTTTGATAAAATATGTTAACTAATGGACCCAAATGTAACACTTTTCTTTCAAACTTTTGAAAACTATATGGATAAATGTGTAAATTTAGTTATAAACTAATATTCAAGAAGTATGTGGTATACTATACTATGAGGTGGCACGAAATAAAACATGAATTAACAAAATTGTAGCGCTCAACACCTGCTATTTATTTTGAATAAATAGGTGTTTGTTGACTAATTATTTGATTGAAAAAAAAAAAGCTGTCATGCCATGTGTCTCCTCTTCAATTCTTCCCCTCTTTCTTCTTTGTCATTTGTGGACTTTCTCTCTCCCTTTACTAGTTTCTAGAACACCAACTGTGCACCTTAACTTTCATTGAGTCATTGCCATAAACCATGCCTCCATTCTAGTTATGGCCTCCAATCTTCATGTTCATTGTCTAGTTTTTATTGACTTTAAATCAATCAAGGTGGAAGAGGCTGTAAGGGAGGGCAGTGAAGGAGGAAGAGTTAGTGAGAATTTGAGCTAATTGAGAAAGCATTTTTATCTTCTTCCCCAACAGAACACCCTTAGCCCGAAAAAGAAAAGAAAAGAAAAGAAAATGAGCATTATGAACAATCAAAATCCTTTAACACTAGCACTTATAAAGATAGAGGATGATGACTTTCAATATTTTTCCCAATCAAGCTCCTTTAATGAAAGGGTGGAGGAACAAACACGAGAAGAAAGCAAAAAGGGCACACCAGACCATCTTGAAGGTGGAATTGATGGTCTGGCTAATGAAGGTGATGATTGTGAGAAACTCAATATAAGAACAGGACTAATGATTCCATTAAGACTTGATGACCTTGACATTTGTTTTTTGAAAATTGCTACTGGCTCTTATAGTGGAAACTGATAAGAGTGCTTTATATGCTATATTTTTCTTAGATGCTCAGCCACAATTATCATGGTGGATCTTTTTTATGGATTGTTTTGAAGGCACCTTAGGGCAATGTCAAATACTATCCTCACTGCTTTAGAAGGAAACTGGCCTCTAAGTTGAGGATCCATAATCAATGACAATCAACAATCATCTGTTAAGAAAGGCTGACTCTACTTGACTAAATTCCTCTCTTCTTTAAGGTGATGGTTGTTAAGATTTTTTAGTAACTCCAGAAGAAGGTTGTTTATCAGTGGGGGGGGGAGGAGTTGCACAATAGAAGTGAGAAGCCATGCAAAATAAGAAAGAGAGAGAAATTAAATGATTGTGGGTCCACAATTTTAATAAATGATCATTATTTAAAAATTGACGGCAAGTGTTTAATAATACATTTTTGATAGTTGATAATTTTTTTTACACCATCTCATAATATAGGAAGTGTAGTTATTTTTAAAAAATAATTTATGGTTAAATTTATAATTTTACCTAAAATTATGCAATTTTCAGAGTAAAATAAATTTTTTAGAGAAAACAGCATAAATTAAACTTTTAAAAGCTCAAATCAATCCTCACTTTAAGGGTTTTTTTTTTAATCTTGACAAATACCATTGATCCAGACGACATTGAGATGGATTTTATAAATGATATGTTTTGCTATAATTTTTTATTTCATATTAATATTAATATATTAACTAGAGTAAAGTACAAATAGAAGTGCAGAGTAGGTGATGACTGCAGTCAAATGTACTACCCGTTTGGTTAACCTCAGTAATTAATTTTTTGGGTGGAAATCAATTTTTAAAAGAAAATTATCCAAACAACATTCACATGAAATAATCAATTATGAGGTTAAAATCAACTTTTTTGTTATGCTATAGATAGCTGCTTATTTGATTCTCATTTTACCATATTAAAAATAAATAATTTGTCAGTAATTTTTCTTTGTGTTAAATACAATTTAATGAATTTAATAATATTAAATATAAATTTATCAACACTTTAATTTTAAAAAATAATGTCTTTTTATAATAATTTATATAGTTAAAATTAATTTTGATTACATTATTCAAAAATATTTAATTTTATTAAAATTAATTTTAAAAAAATAGTATCTAAATATTTTATATTATAACATAATTAATTATAATTATAATTAATCATATTAATTAATTATTTATAATTAATTATATTTAATTAAAATTTAAATGAGCTCGTAGTATGCCATAAGCTATTATTAGAGCCGGTAATTTGGTTCAAGCCCGACGGGCCAACCCAAACCCACTCAAAAAATTTAGGCCAAAGCTCGAATAAAATAATAATTTTTAATTATTTAGGCCTATTCGGGCAGCCCAAATAGGCCCAAAAAAATTCGAGTCAAGTTCGATCGGGTTCGGGCTTGGCCCGAATACCCGAATAGAAAAAATACATTTTTAAAAATATATATAATATAATAAATATTAATTATTTTTAAAGTTTTATATTATTTTATTTTAAAAGACCATACATTTGAGTGTTTTACTATAGTTATTTAAAAAAAAATTAAAATATTATATTTTCCTATTTTTATAATTTTTAATCAAATAAAATATTTTAAAATAATAATTAAAATATATTTTAATATTAATTTTTATACTTTAAGACTCAATCTTTTTTTTAGAAAAATTGAGTCATATACACTATTTTCTTGTCCAAAAAATTATATTTTATATTTTTTATAAATAAGATAATTAATTTTAAATTAAAAATAATTTTAAAAATAAAATTTGGGCATATACAAATTCTGGCTCTACTACTAAATAAACATAATAAATAAATTAATATTTTTAGATAATTATTTGATTATCATCCACGTCAGACTTAGTTAAAAATTAAAAATAAACTAAAGTAAATATCTTTTGTATATAGGACTTAAACAATATAAAAGTTTAAAAAAATTTTAAAAAATAATATTTTACCCATAATTAAATGATTTTATTTTATATAATATAATGATGGCTATTTTTTCATATTTTAAAAATAAAAAGTACAGTTTATCTAATAGTTGTTAAAAACTTTGAACTAATTAGGATAATAATTTTAAATTAATGGTCTAATCATAGTTAAATTAAGATTAACTTGATCATAATTAAAATAATATGATTCAATTAAAATATATAAATATTTTTATATAATCATGATAAGGATAATATTTAAATAAATAAGACATCAATTTACAAGTAAAGGAAACATTCATGAATAAATTGTACATAATACAATAAAATAGTAACAGAGCTACTTAAATACTTAACTACAAAGTTAATAAATTATTATTTTTTATTCCTTTTAAGTTAAAAAAATATTTTATGCTTAATAAAATTATTTAAAAATTAAAATTCATTAAAAAATAAAAAATATTTTAAAAAAAATTTCGAGTATTCGGGTCGGCCCGAATAAGCCCGAAATACGAAGGTGTTACGGTCGAGTTTGGCTATATGAGTTTTTTAAAAAGAGTAAGATTCTTTAAGTCCGACCCGAATTGAGTCAATACGAATAAGCTCGATCCACTCGAATTACCGGCTCTAACTATTATTTCCCTTCATGGTTTAAAAAAATATTTATTGAAGTTATCATAATTTAAAAAATTAGCAATGCTCCATCCAAATGCAAACACTCTTTGAGGAGGGCTCTTCTATTAATTCTACTGAACAATTTGTTTTTTCAGTTTTTGAATATCTTCATTTCTAAGGAACAACCAGCAGAATCGGGCTTGGAGGAATGTCGGGCCTAATGGGATCGCCGTCTGTGCTTCTCTGCATCAGTGTGCCAAATCCCCTCACGCCGCCGCCGCCGACGGCCGCTTCCTTTGCTTCACCCGTAATTTTTCGAAGATGTTCCACGAAGTCGGCATCAGCCATCTCATCGGAGTTAACTCCGAAACCAGAGACCTCCAAGTCTATCCCGCTCCCATCTACAGAGATATTGGCCTCGACTGCTCCGCCCATTCATGGGGTGAAAAATCTAGGGTTTCAACCCAAGCCTGAATTGGGGCTTCTGTCTATCTTGTTTCCACTCTCAATGGTAAGCTTACTCTGACCCTCTCTGTTTACTTGCTACCGACTTTGGCATTCGAAATAGTCAACTAGAGTTTGGAAGCATATTTTGGATACGGAATCAGAATTAGTTTCTTGTGATCATTTCTTCTCACCATAAGTTTGTCTTTTTGGTGTTTGGATAGTAGGCTTTTGGTGCATTCTTGTCAGTGGCCCTGGCATCTATTCCGACTATAATTGTAAGTTCAGAAGGATTTATTTCTTTTCTGTGTCGCGAGCTAAGAATTCAGTTGATCTGTTTTTGCAAACGTATAGCAAGTTTAGAATTGCTGGCATTTATTGGTGGGTTTTGATGCCATGCGCAGGCTTTTGGAAGATTAGGAGCTTCAATGAAAAAATTGTCTAGAGTTGCCTCGGAAGAGGTGCCTGGAACTCTATCTTCTCTAAAACTTTCTGGTATGGAGCTGAATGATTTAGCCCAACAACTTAGAAATCTCAGGTAATACTTCTCAAGTTCCGTAGTTTGGTATAATCTGTATAGAATAGATGAAGAGCTTAAGCCTTCTTTGTCAGTCTATCTCTGATTGTGCAATTTCTTTCGTTATTTTCGCTGCAAGGCACATAATCTCTGGAATTCGCACGGGAACGAAGGACAGGGACACTAAAAACGCAGGATCATCTCGGAAGAAAGAACCAGTATCCTAATTCTCAACATAGCCACAATATTTCCTTTAACACCAGCCTACCAAAAATTAAAAAATAAAAAATAAAACTCTACATCCTCCGGGAACTGCTGGCTGGTTGTCAGGACTGTTCGTTCATCTGGTTCAGTCAAAAGCGAAGCAACAAGTGAACTAGTTTGATGCTGCAATTGCAAAATGCTAAGAAAAGCTGCTCGTGTAAAAGTGTTGCTTTTCGCAGTTAGATCAGTTTCCATGCTTCTCCTGAACCTTAAGCAGTTGCAAGATTTTTCCTTGTTCATATATACGACAATACAAGAAACACGATATGATAATGTTGTGCATTGTAGGAATTTTTTGTTTTTTTGTTTTTTGACTTAATGCAATTCAGGTTACAGAAGAATTGCACTTACGAATCAAACCATATAAATATTCACAGTTTTGCATACTTCTTGAGTGCTTTGTCAGCATCTTTTGCGTGATCCGGGACTGGCATGTTGCTTAGAAGAGTTACCCTGGACGATGATACCAAGGATCTATTTTGAGAGTTTGAAGGATCTATCTTCCAGATTCTCACCTCCCACACCTGCTTCAGAATAGAGTGAAACTTGATGAGCAGGGTTTGTTTCATGACGTTTGAATAGAGTATTATATGACTGTGTTTTAGAATTTAGCCAATATGTAATTGCTCTTTATGGTAATTCCTAATCTTCTGAATATTTTTTCCCAAGGGTAGGAGGTATAGTGTGATGGCCACTGCCGAAGAGAAAACAACATCGATGGTATTTCTCATCTGTCGTAAACTAACGATGCTAAGTTGCCATATTTGAAACGGCCAATTAATTGATTGTTCACTTGAAACCAACCTCATTGTTTAACATTGAGCTGACTTTGATTTATGTCTTGGTCCAATTCTTCTATTTGCTACTTTATATTTATGTCTGCATGTAAAGTAGAAAACTTTCGATGCCAATTTATTTTGATGACGATGAAATGGCTTGCCACAAAAGGAAGAACTCAACTATAGACGTTTACTATGAAATAGCAAAACGAAAAGCAAAAACAAAAACAAAAATTGCTAAGGCGATATCATGTTTATTCAGGAAAATGTTCATGTTATGATTTACACTTTTTTACCACAAAAGCTAGTGACCAAAAGGGACTGGAATTTTCAATCTCTTAATACTAGAAGTCTGTTTGGTAATCCTCAAAAGGACATTCAAACAATACAATATAATGTATTTTTTTAAAATTCAACAAATAGTTGGATCCCTCAAACCTACTTTTATCATATGTAATCTAAAAACTAAGCGCACACTAAATTTTGCTCTCAAGTTGTTCAACAGCTTCTTTCAATCACTGGTTAAATGGACAGATTAATCATGAGATGGTCAAGAGGTAGAGATCCCTAAGACTGACTTGGTCAAGTGGTGGGGACAGGGGTGGTCCAAAAGGTGTTAATTTTGTTGAAGTGAATTTAAAACTGTTATACTCTTTAGATGACTGGGGAGAAAAAAGCATCTTGAGAAGGGAAAAAATTATAAAATTGTGTGAATAAAAATTTGGTCTATTTTAACAACAGGAAAAGAAATCTCACTCCCATAAAATGAGCACGCGCAAATGAGAAGGGTCTAAAAGAATATAAGATATTGAACCTCAACAAAACTAATATTGTTTGGGCCAACTCATAATCTTTCCGAGTATTTTTTTCAAATAAATAAATAAAATGGATAAGAAACGATGAAAATAATCCACAATGACTAAAAATAAAACCTGAGGAGGTGGTACTTTTACAGAATATATATATATATATATAATCCAGTGTTTGCAAGTGCGGTTTTGTCAAGTTATCAATTTCATTAGCTGCAGATTTAATGGAAGGGAGGATGTCAATTGTCAGACAAACAAAACAGAAGTGCGTAAGGTCATTGTTATTATTATTGGTCGGAAATTTCAAGGTGATTTAATTATAAAATGGACATGGGAGGGTAGAAATGGCAGGACCAGACCATGCTTATTTCGCGTGGCTGCCGGAGATTCTGGTTATGACTTGTGATGAAGCAGCCCCATGCATTGTTAGCGTCCCATTGTGCAGAGGGATCACTAACTCAGGTACTAACTTATTGGATTGAATCACACGTGTTTTAATTAATGTATGAAGGGATTAAAATTTTATCCAATTTATTCCTGTGACGGTGCATTGATACAAGAAAAGCTCACGTAATGCGGGAAAGGAATTAGCAGTAATATAGGAAAGAGGAGGGAAGGAAGGGGAAGGAAGACCTGAATGCTCTTGCCAACATGAAGAGGGGTGGCTTCGGCATGGACCAAGTCACCGAGCTCGGCACGCCTGAGATGATTGATGCTGAGCTGAACTCCGGCCACCCTCTTAAAACCAGAAGCCATGTGAGCTCCCATGCTTGCCAGACCCTCGGCGATCATGGCGGAAACCCCTCCATGTAACACCTTGAAAGGCTGAAATCACAAAATTTGAGTTGAAGAATGCTAGAAAGAAAGGGGGAAGATCGGAGATGAAGAAAGTGGACCTGGCAGCATTTATGGGTGACAGGGAGACGGCCGGCCACGCGGTGGGGCGACAGGTCTTGAATCTCGAAGCCAATAGCGTGAAGAGGAGCATCCAAATCTGCGGTCTTGGATGAAGAAGAGGATTGGTCTTGCATTGAATTGAATGGATCTGGCGCGAGTGATGAAGGGGAAGAGAATCGGAAATTGTTAGAGGAAGGGGTTGAAGAAGGAGAGGGTAATTTGGAGCATTCCGAGAAAGGAATGGTGGGTGGCTGGTGGTGGGTGGTGTGGGTAATGGGTTGGTGGCGAGGGAGATGAGGAGGTGATGATAGTCAATTCAATCTCCGGGGCCATCACTTCTAATCAAATTCCCAATCCTACCACTGTCTGCTTTCTAATTATCCATGCGCGTGACTCACGCTTGTCTTTTTCAGGTCATTTTATAACTATTCATGGTTAATTTTATTTGGCACTCTCTTCGTCAAGGAAGGCAAACAAACAAACAAAAAAAGAACAAAAAAACATTTGTAGAAACTACTCAATTCCATATATTGAGCTTGTGACCAACCATACATCTAAATTAAAGTAAGATATTAATAGAGTATATTAGCGTGTGATTCATGTAATTAATTTCATTTCATGAAATAGTATTTATTGTTGATGTTATCTTGTTTGAAAAATGTTACATGCCATTTTTGTAAGGAGAATTATACACACCCAAGTTTCATATAAGAAAATTTATTACTAACAAACCAAGGTCAGTTGTAGATAATCAAGTCTGACATATAAATGGAAGTGAATAAATATCTATTTACTTATTTGGAATCTGTTTGTAATTTTTTTCTATTTTTGATATATTTATATATTGGTTTTCAATGAGAAAAGTAAATTACCCATGAAGTTTGACAAGTAAAGGATTATAAATATACAAACCTTGTACTGTCATCATCAGCGACAAAATAATACAATTTATCTGAAGGATTCTTCTATGTTGGAAATATAATACAAACATTACCCATATTCTAACCAAACCAGCTGTCAATACTAAAGTTTATATTAAATTTTATTTATATAGACTTTTTTAAAGGATCATTATACAAAATAAAATTTACAAGTCATACTTGATACTATTATAAATAATAATATTACTTTATTACTTTGAAATTTTAAAATGTAATTCTAAATAATTTTACAATGCAAATTTAAAAATATCAAATTTCCCTTGACAAGACATGGGGTGCACATGGAACATGGGAATGGAATGATAGAAGGTGAACAAAGGTGCCCATGAACCAAGTTGGGCTTCAGGCCCAAAAAACCAAGTTGGGCCGGGCGGATATCAATTTGAGGGCCAGTATGGGCTGCACCGGATTTGGTTGTCGGTGGAGTTGTTTTAACTGTTTTTGTTGCTTATGCGCAGCATGGCTGATGACCTAATGTTAAACATTAAAAAGTGGAATTATTTTTTTAAAAAATGATAGTTAAGTTTTAAGAAATTAATTAATTCAAATTAAATTTCAATTAATTTCAGAATGCCAGCAAAGTTCCTTGATCTTTATTGTAATGGTAAGTGTAACAGTTCTAAAGATTTGCAAATAGGGCTTCCAAATGTGCAACTTTGTTAGAATGCATTTGTAATTTGTTTTTCAAATTCTAACAAAAAAAATTACTTTTAATGTTAAAAAATATTAAATCTAACAACTTTAAATATTTGCAAGTTTGGCTCTTAATTTTATAATTTATTTTTCAAAATTTAACAAGGAATACAAATGTTCAGTGTTTACCCTCCAATCTTGTTAGAATTTAAAAAACAGGTTGTAAATTTATTATAATAAAGTTATAAAATTAAAATATGAATTTACAAATCTCTAAAGTTGTTAGATTTAATATTTACCCTAAAGAATTGAAAAATTTTATTAATATTATGAAATTAATTAAAATTTAACTTGAATTAAATAATCTCGTTAAAACCCCACAATCATTCTTCCTTAATTTTTTGTTTATTTTTCGTGGCCCAAGAGGCAACATTAAAAGAGGAAACATAGTCTCAGAGAAAATTATATTATATTATATATGTTACAAGTAAGAAAGTGGAATCCTTTTCTTCCTTCCTTCCTTTGTTTTTTTCCCCCTCATCCTAAACTCTAGAGCCAAAAATAAAGGCTTAGCCTGGAAAGCTGAGCTTGAAAGCTCTATTTAAATAAGAATTTAGATTTTTAAAATAATTTTTTTAAATAATTGGGCTTGAAGGCTAGGTTCTGATAAGCCTGTAAAATAAGGCTCAGGTCCGAGCTGCCTTTTAAGCCTTATTATATCATTATTATTATTATTTTCTTTAGTATGACACATATTTGAAGCTAATGACCCACTCACCTGATCCTACACATATTATATCATTATTAATTTTAATTTATTTTAAAATTAATTTAATAAATATCAATGTATGGTATAAAATTTATGATATTTTTATTTTTTTATAATCATTATGTTTGTATATTTATAAAAAAATGAAATTTTTTCTAACTAAAATTTAAATTTTATTAATAGACTTCTAAATGTGTGTTATTTAATTTCTAAAAATTATGAGAATTTTAATCTTTTTTAATTTCAAAATATTTTAATTAATTTATAAGATTTAATTTTATTTTAATTTTTTTATTCTTTGACAATGAGCTCGTGGGCCCAGCACTGAATCCTGAGCATAGGGGTCGGGCTTGAGAAATGAGGTTTAAAATAAAAAATTGAGTTTTAGGGTTCAAGCCCAAACTCTTAAGAGCCAGACTCGTCTGTATTCTCAATTCTACTAAACTCACATACATATACCCCACGCACATACCACTTGAGGATTGATCTTATAACCTTTCCTTTGGAGGGGAGGGTGGGGTGCTAATTGAGCCATAAGGCAATTAGATTCATTTCTTATATAATCAATAATAAATAATCTTTCATCTTGTTATAAGAAGATAAGAGTATAGGAAACACAAATTGAACCACAACATACTTCCATGAAGCCCATTTTTTGAACTGAATTAATGAAAATAAATAAATAAATAAGCGTGATTATTTTGAAAAGAAATGTTGTTAAACAATTAGTCAAATGCATTTCCATTGTGACATTTTACCAAAAATACTCGATAGAGCATACCAGCACCATTCAGGCATTCACATTCAAGGTAAGCAAAGGATCTGTACTATCAAGTTTGAATTTACTTGAAATTCGTCAACACTATTGAAACATCTTGATCACGCATACATTTATGAACGATGAAACGTTCATAATTTAAATTTACTTCAATTACCAATTTAGTTCCTAAAATTTAATTTTTATCAATCACATTTTTTAATTTTTATAAACTATATACAATTAGTTATTATGGTGTCATTTCATCTTCAAAATATAAAGTAGTTATATAGTTTTAGGGACTTGATTGATATAAATTAAACTTTATGAATCAAATTAATAATTGAAGTAAATTTAATAGAGTAAAAATTTCATTATCATTAGACATCATAAAACATGGATAAACAAATAGAAAGGCATTGAAAGTCGGTCAATTGACCATGCAATAATCATCTTCTCCACCCCTCAAATGCACCTTAAACAACTGAAAATTACATAATTATATGAATTGCATTATAAATGTGTAAAGTACCGGATAGTATACTAATTAAAAATGAATCCCATAAATAATTATTGATGCAGCTTGTTAAGTATATTAAAATTAAACTGGCACATGCATGAAAGGCCACTTACGTACCGTATCAATATTAAATTTTGAGTGATCTATATGTTGGCAATCATGTATGGAAGATTACGAAATCCCAAGTGGCATATATATATATATATAATATATATGGTGAGAAAGGAAGATGATCGCCACCTTTTTAAATATGATTAAAACCTTCAAATACAAATACATGTATGAACCTAAAACTTATAGATCTATACGCCTAACAGTATCTCACCTTTATTTTGTTTTTTTTAATATATTCTGGCATGATTATGATTACATTGTCCCTTAGTATCCCTTCTGGCTTTTATTAATAAGGCACTCTCAACAAGAGATGAATCATCCTTATTATAAGTCACTTAATAGGATATCGATTAATTTTTTTTAATATTATCCCTTATGTAAAGTCATCAACTATGAAAGAGAATATTAATCAAATTTAAAAATTTTCTATTTAAACACAGGTAAGAAATTATTTGAGATAATTTAGATATATACAAAAAAATGTTGTATGAGCCTCTGGGAGGAGAGTGAAGTAAATACTCTCTTAAGCCATGTGAAGAGCGGTAGAGAATAACAAAAGAAAACACTCAAAAAAATCACTGAGCGAAATCTTTTAGTCAGCAATACATTCAAAAACTTAATTTGTTGATAGAGCACCGAAATACTGTGCAATCCATTTATTCCATGGTTTTTTTTTTTTAGACAAGGATTGTTGTTGTTTTTATTGTCGTAAATATAAGTAAAATAAAAAATATTTTATTTTAAAATAGAGCTAATAACTTAATAATAATTTCTTACTAGTTCCAGTAAGGTAACTTAGAGGTGATTTATAATAAGAAATAGAATTCAGGGAATAAAGGGAATAAAGCACAGTAACAGGATTCCTCAAGCTTAATTACAACCAACAAAGGCAAACATTTATTTTGGACAACGATATATATATATATATATATATATATATATATAGAAATTAAAGGAAAAGGCAGTAATATTAAATAAATGTATTTAATGTAATAAAAAGAAAGGTACGTACTTGATGTACACACACATTAACATACCAAGTGTGGCCCTGTGGGTTTAGGGCATCCCTTAAGACTTAAGATGTGATAAAGGAAGACAGCTTGAAGGCACTGCGTTGTAATAGGAATTTTCTGGGAAGATCACTTTCACCTTCACCACACACTCGCGCGCATCACATTTCTAGCAACCCAGCTTCCTTCCTCTTAAAGATCGCCTCAAATTATTATACTAACAATGCAAAGCTGAAAAGGGATTCATTTCTCTGCGTACGAGCCCAAAAGCAAAACCACAAACCCCTTTGCTTGCTTTGCCTTCTTATATATATATATATATATATATATATATATATATATTTCTTTCTGTTTGGAGATAAAGATGGTACAGGACGTGATATCACATATAAATATATATCTATATATATATATATGGTGTGGCTCTTAGCTAGGCGTAGTTGTTGTATTCGCAGCAAAGGATGATGTAAAGACAGCTTAGAGATTTTTCCCCCATTCTTTTTAAAGTTGTTCTGGTTGCTGCTTTCTGCTTTTTGCGCTTCTTTTCTTAATTATTGTTATTATTGTAATAGGA